TACCCTGTTGTATTTGTAGTTATTGAGTTGAGTTGAGTTGAGTAGCTGTGTTCACAGCTTGTTGAACCTTTAAATCAAGTTATATGGATGTTAATATTAAATGACAAACCAGATGCAGATAGTTAGTAAATACTGTGAGAAAACAGACTGGCTAAATGTTATCTGTACATGTTGCTACAGTTAAAATAAGCACTAAATTAAAGCAGAACTGAATAGTTGAGAGATTCTTTGAAACTATTTTTGAGAGTTCGGAAATCTTACTACATGTGAGGACACAGTTGTTTTTGTTTTAAAGTTCTTATTGCAGAAGAGCACATTAGAATTAGAAAGACACAAAAGTTCAATATATGGCCTTGTAAAATCTGGAACTGGTTGTTCCTAACTGAATACAGATTGTTAAAAGCACAGAGCATACAAGTAGGTGTGGGTCTGTGTCCGTGATGGTATAAAAAGCTTGTTTTCACCCAACTTTGGTGTAGCATAGCATTTCAGATATAGCTCACACTGTGATCTAGTATTGATACATTTAATGGCATTAACTGTGTACATTAGGGGTGGAACGGTTCACAAATTCCACGGTTCGGTTCACGGTTTCGTGGTCACGGTTTTCGGTTCGGTATATGTTGATTGTTACACCGAAATCCCATAAAAATTAATGAAAAAATCCCCAAAAAATTAATGAATTGTAATTATTTTTAATGATCCGCGGAAACCCTGGATCATTTGCTGCTTTGAATTTAATCATTTCGCGCATGCCCTCTACGATCTCCAAGGAACTCAGAGCAGAGCGGACGGGAGCCACAACGGAGACTGTAGGCTTTGCTTTGTGCAGGCGGTCTGGAGCGCTGCGCAGCAGGGCAGAGTGAGGGGAGCATGACGGAGTATGTGGGATTTCGGGGTTAGCATGACATGTTGCTGTTAGCATAAACAAAACGTGATGCACAATGCTTGCACACTGTTGCACTTTTATCCACAACTTTCTTTCCGCCATCATCGTAGGTTACTGATTTTTTTTCTGCTACACCCGGCTATGCTGCTTCGCTTCTTCTTCTTCTTGTTTACTACTGGTGGTTGGCTTTGGTCGCAGTACCGCCACCTTCTGCTCTGGAGTGTACATGCTTGGCCTATGAGGAAAAAGGAGCAGAGCATGAACCGAACGCAACACACGCGAACCGAACCGAGACAGTCAAACCGAACGGTTCTGACGGTTTCCATAAATCGTCCCATCCCTAGTGTACATCAGGGTTTGTTTTTTGTTTTGTTTTTTTTCCCTCATTTGCAGAGTAAAACATGCCCCTTTGATAATCAGAAAGGGAAACACTGTAGCTTAACAAGTAACACATAACTTTAACTGTTAGAATAACAATTTTTTTGGTGCTGATTTGAGGTCCTCCAACATATAGGTTTCTTACGTATTTGAGCAAAGTAAATATGTTTAAAAACATTGTTTTGGGAGTTGTTATGCTGCTTTTACAGTCCTTTTACAACAGACAGCCAAACACCTCCTTATCCTGAATTTGCTGTCAAGAACCCTTTTGACCTGAGTGTAGTTTACACCCCTAGATTGCATGCAATATCACTTGTTTGATGTTGTAGAAAGGTTATTGCTTACACATATTACACATGTGGACAAAATAGTTGGTATCCTTCGATTAATGAAAGAGAAACATACAATTATCACAGAAATATAAATCTGACAAGAGTAATAATGAAAAGAAATTCTATGAAAAATCAGACATTGCTTTTCAACCACGCTTCAACAGAATGACTTTAACTCATGAAACAGGCCTGGTAAAAAAAAAAAAAAAAATCATGGGAATATCATTGTAATAATTCCTTACACAACTTTCTGAAGCATTGCAATCAAATGATTCAATAAGACTTCTACTCTTCTCAGCAGGTATTTTGTCCGACTCCTTGTGAGCAAACTGCTACAGTTGTTTTCAGGTTTGAAGGGTATCTTTTCCAGATGTTGTGTTTTAGCTCCTTCCATAGATGCTAAATGGAATTTGGGTCAGGACTCATAGAAGGCTGGATGTTTTTAGCTGTGGGTTTTGGGTCCTTCTTTTACAAGGCCCATGACCTGCAACTAAGAACAAGATTTCCGACACTGGGCAGCACATTTCTCTCCAGAATCCCTTGTTAGCCTTGAGATCTCATTGAACCCTCCTAATATTCAAGACACCCTGTGCCAGATGAAACAATGCAGCCCAGAGCATAACAGAGGCTCCTTCATGTTGCACATTAGGGACAGTGGTCACTTCTTGGTGTACTTCATGTTTCTATCTGTAAAGATAGAGTGGATGCACCTTGCTAGAACGTTTAGTCTTTGACTCGTCTGTCGATAGGATATTCTCTCAGAAGCTTAGTGACTTGTTTACATCTAGTTTGGCTTTTTTTATTATTTTTTTTTTAACAATGGTGTCCTACTTAGTCGTCTCATATTGCATCCCCTTTTTTTCAGACCATATCCAAATCGTTTTGCACGCATTTGTAATGGAAACTCAACTAGTGCCTACCTTAAGTCCAAGGATGTTTAAAGGAGGTCCTCAATGACCACTGTCCTATAGGTTTTCAATGTTTCTTGGCTTCAGCACAGCTGATTCTGATTACTGCAGTTCAACCAGAACCTATTAATTAGCTATCCATGGAAATCAGCTGTGCTGAAGCAGGGCAACCTGGACAGTGGCCCTCAAGGACCGACTTTGGAAATGCCTGCTGTAGCCCTATATTTAGGCCCACTGACTGATTAAGATCGTAGACACCTGTAGTTCTTTTAGTGGACACATCTTGAATTAACATGTCCCTTTAGTTACATTATTTTCAATCTTTTCCTGGGTTACCATAATTTTTGTCCTGGCCTATTTCATGAGTTTGTTCTGTTTTTTTTTTTTGTTTTTTGTTTTTTTTACTTTTGAAGCATGGTAGAAAACGGTGTCTGCACTTTATTTGCTCATTTTCTTAGAATTTTTATTTATTATTACTTTAATCAGTTTAAAAAAAAATTCTTTAACTATTATGTTTTTTTTTTTCTTTCACTAAACAGGGGGTTCTAGCACTTTTGTCCATGTTCAGTGTTCAATGTTGCATTTAGGGGTTCGAGTTACTTGTAGAGAACACCTAGACATTAAATAAGGCCTTTCAAGAATCAAAACTACACTTATGGTGCATTCACACCAGAGGTATTGGCAACACCTACTGCAGTGGATTCACATAGAATTCCTATGCAAACCGCTCAGTGAGCAGTGAACTCCATGCGGTGAGAGCATTCACTGCATTCACTGCTCCACCCTCACCTTGTGCTACTAAATAGAGCTGAGGTCTTGTCATATAGCTGCACCATATAGAGAGAGGGGAGCGGTTATCGCTGAAGTTGAAAAATCTGAAACTTTGAACAAAGGTATAAAATAAGCAATCCCTCTATAGGTATTTAGGTGGCTTTTAAAAAAAGCAGTTGCAATTTAGTCCTATAGGTGCTGTTAATTGTCCACATTTACCTCCAGCACAGAGCCCCATCTGTCACTGCACACTGCCCAGCATCAGTGTTTTCTGAGGGGGTAGATTTACTAGGAAGTCTGGCAGAATCAGCGCTGTGTCTGGATGAACCAAGGCAATTCAAAAGTTTTACAAGGAACAATTTAGCAGCAGTCTGTGATTTTAAGTTTCACCTAGGCTTTTATTGTGAAATGCCAACAGACAGCGAGACCTTGACAGGAAATTACATGGGGTTGCCAGGGGTAATGGCAGGATAAGCAAACA